CTTGTGATGACTCGAATGATGGTGCTGATCATGAGGATAACGGTGATGGTGATGGTGAGGGTGGTGGCGATGATGACGACGACGACGATGATGATGATGACAGTGATGATGATGCTGCTGCTGATGATGACGGTAATGGTGCTGCTGATGACGATGATGGATGATGATGACGATGTTGATGATGATGATGATGATGATGATGATGACGATGATGATGATGATGATGATGATTATTACGATATCGGACATTTTGTTGTTGTTGCCGATGATGATACTGATGATGCTGATGCTGGTGCTGATAACGAGGCGACTGATGGTGATGCTGGTGCTGCTGATGACGCGAACGATGATGAGGCTGATGATGAAGATGATGATGATGATGATGATGATGATGATGATGCTGATGATGATGTCGTTGATGATGAAGATGATGATGACGATGTTTACGATGATGCTGATGATGATGATGATGACGATGATGCTGATCATGCTGATGCTGATGCTGCTGCTGATAATGATGATCATGATGATCCTGGTGATGGTGATGGGCATGGTGAACGTGATGCTGATGCTGCTGCTGCTGATGATGGTGATGCTGCTGCTGCCGACGATAGTACTGCTGAGTACGTGGATGGATTCTTGTGTTGGTGGTGATGATGGGGAGGATATTTATACTTATTCTGCTGATGATGATGCTGCTGATGCTGATGATGATGATGATGCTAGTGATGATGATGATGATAATACAATGATTCTGGTGATGATGTTGCTGATGCTGCTGCTGATGATGATGATGATGACGATGATGATGCGGCTGCTGCTGCTGATGATGATGATGATGATGATGGCGACGACTAGGATGAGGATGATGAAGAGGATGAGGATGCCGATCAGGAGGATGATGATGAGGAGGAGGAAGAGGACGATCATGCTGATGGTGATCACGATCATGACGATTTTGATGATGCTGCTGATGATGATGATGATGATCAGGATTGTGATGATGACGATGACGATGACGATGCTGATGACGAAGATGATGACGACGACGACGATGATGATGATGACGATGATGATGATAATGATGATGATGCTAATACTGATGATAATGATGATGCTGATGATGATTTTTAATGACGATATCAATGTTGATATTGATGATGATGCTGATGGTGCTGATGATGATGATGATGCTGAGCGAGATGATGATGATGAGGATGATGACGATAACGACGGTGATGTCGATGATCAGGACGATGCTAATGATGATGATGATGATGATGATGATGATGATGATGCTGATGATGATGATGATGATGATGATGATGATGATGATGAAGATGATGATGATGATGATGATGATGATGATGATGATGATGCTGATGATGATGATGATGGTGCTGCTGACGATGATGATGCTGATCATGATGGTGATTCTGCTAATGCTGCTGACGATGATGATGATGCTGATGCTGATGACGATGACGATGACGATGATGCTGATGATGATGCTGATGTTGATGATGATGAGGTTGATGCTGATGCTGATGCTGAGGATGGTGATGATGATGATGGTGATGCTGTTGATGATGATGATGCTCATGCTGATGATGATGCTGACGCTGGTGATGCTGATGCTGATGCTGATGGTGATGATGCTGATGATGATGATGATGCTGATGCTGATGCTGGTGATGATGATACGATGATGATGCGGCTGATGCTGATGTTGATTAGGATCATGATGATGGTGATGCTGATGATGCTGCCGCTGATGATGCTGATGATGGTGATGATGGTGATGATGATAATGGTGTTGATTATGATGATCACGAAGATGGTGGTGATGCTGCTGATGATGATGATGATGATGATGATGGTGTTGAGGCTGATGCTGATGATGCTGAAGATGCTGCTGCGTTCGGTGATGATGGTGCTGCTGCTGATGATGCCGATGTTGTTGTTGTCGATGATGATGATGCTGATGATGCTGATGATGCTGCTGCTGATGATGATAATGACGCTGTTGCTGCTGCTGATGCTGATGCTGCTGCTGCTGATGATGATGATGATGGTGATGCTGATGCTGCCGACGAATGATGTGCTGATGATGATGCGGATGCTGATGATGATGCTGATGCTGATGATGATGATGATGCTAATGATGATGCTGATGAATCTGATGATGGTGCTGATGATGATGCTGCTGCTGATGATGATACTGGTGATGAGGATGATGTTGATGATGATTATGCTGCTGCTGCTGATGATGAGACTGCTGATGCTGCTGCTGATGATGATGATGATGACGACGATGATGATGATGATGCTAATGATGATGATGATGCTGCTGCTGCTGATGATGATAATACTGATGATGAATACGATGATGATGATGATGATGATGATGATGATGATGATGATGATGATGATGATAATAATGATCATGGTGATGATGCTGTTGTTGATGATGATGAATATGATGATGACGATGATGATGATGATGATGAAAATGGTGATGATGATGATGCTAATGCTGATGATGATGATGCTGATGATGATGATAATGATGATGAT